TCCCAGATATAACTGGATTGATTGTATGTGGTAGTAGCTGATTTCAGGGGCCTGAGAACAAGCCGCAGGAATCCATGTTCTTCTAGTGACCTCAAAGAACCTGGGTCCAATTTTAAGCAAGACAGATAGTGCTATGGTTTGAATATTTGTCCCCTCCAAAACTCATGTTAAAATTTAATTGCCACTGTAACAATATTAAGAGGTGGGACCATTGAGAGGTGATTAGGCCATGGGAGCTCCACCCTCCTGGATGGGATTGGCACCATTATAAATGTGCGAGTCTGGCCACCCCTTCCTCTCTCTTGCCCTTTCTTTGCCCTTCTGCTCTTCTGCCATGTGAGGAGCAAGGTTCCTCCTCTCTGAAGGAGGAAGCACCAAAGGTGCCATCTTTGAATCAGAATCACCAAACTCACCAGCATCTTGTCATGGACTTTCCAGCCTCCAGAACTGTAAGAAATAAACCTTATTTTTTATAAATTACCCAGTCTCAGGTATTGTTATAGCAGCACAAAACAGACTAATACAGATTTTTTGATGCAGTTAATCTTGATTTACCAACTGATGGCTAACGCAATCATTAAAAGGCCAAAAGTTCCACACTAGTACAGCCCTATTTGAGAAAAATCATAAAAATTTAAGCTTTCAAAGCAAAAATTCTTCCACCTTGTGATGTATAAATGGCTAAAGAGCCTGGGTAATTAAGCTCAGTTTTGAAATGAATCCTAACTGGAAATTAAAGACTCCCCAATAAGGTTAATACCAGCTCCAGCTCTGATCTCTGTTGGACAGCAGCCGCAAGGCAAGCCTCAACCCCTCGGAGACCTGCGTGCATCTGAGCCAGATCACACAGGCCAGGCCAAGGCTGCCTCCTGCCCGGGAGCTGCATTAGCCTCTGGATAATAACAATAGCTAACATTTACTGAGCTCTTCTGTTTCAGGATCTGTTCTAAACACTTTACATGTGTACCTTCTTCGTATTTACCCATCACAATAACCTATTAAGGCAGATACTATTAATATTTTCTCCTCATTTAATAGATAATGTCATTCCATGTCCATTCCCAAGAATTTCTGGCTTGTGTAGAGGTTAATGCCATTTATTTATGCCTCTCTCCTTCCTGGTTCTAACCAAGAGTATGAACACAGTGAACTGAGAAGCAGACAGGGACCAGAATATTCACTTTCCTTATGGAGGCCCAATCACTTCAAACTACAGGGCCCTGAAAAGTACTGGGTTAGAGAAAGTAATTCAGAATTGAAGAAAAAACAAACAAGGCTTCCCTATAACCTCCTGCTAAATCTGAACCTTAAGACCAGCCACCAGAGGGTATTGGCTCTGCAGGGAGACTCTTCAAACACACCTCCAGCCCACAGATGAGTGATGGATTGGGGCCTGTTTCAAAAAGCCACCAGTCACCAGCAGAAGAGAGTGCTGGAAAGCACAGCAGGGAAGTGGTTTCTAGAAGGCAGACACGGTGCCAGGTCGGCTTATTCCACAGTCCACTGTCCCTTTTAAAATCTGCCTGGGGGAAAGAGAATCCTATTTCTTGCTTTTAATCATAGCTTTCAAAGATAGCTGCCCACTAGAATCAATTTAAAAGGTTTTAAAAATTGCAGTGGCCTGATCACAGCCCAGACCAACTAAATCAGATCCTCTAGGACACAAGTATTTTTTAAAGTTCCCCAGGAAATTCCAATGTGCAGCCTAGGCTGAGAACCACCACTTTATAAGCTTTGTAACCCCAACCCCTTGTAATGCAGCCAGTCCTAATTAGCACTTTTTGAGTGACTACTTTATCCTCAGAAATTTACATAATCCTCAATGCAACTCTATGAGGCAGGTATGAATTATCATAGCATTTCACAGATGTTGGAAAAGGGGTGTTTGAAAAGGTTAAGAGATAGAATTGAGATTACAAATTTAGTATTTTGTCTTCCTAGCTGAATATTTAACCACCATACACCATGATGTTCCTTGTGGATACCCTGATCCCCACAATCTCTCCAATCAGATAATACATTCCTTCCTTTATAGGGAGGAACAAGTAAGAGTTGGAGATACTGGAGGAGTTCATTCCAATATTCCCTTCTAAAAGAGAACATAAATTCTGTCCATGGAAGGTGAGGGGAAATATGGATTTCCAAACAAGTAACTTTTATAGAGATTTGGAAAAGTTTTTGTGTAGAGTAATAAGTCATCAGTGATAGATGGTTAGAATTGTCAAACAGTTAAAGTCATAGCATTTTTTTAATAGAACCAGCTTTAGAGTTTTCACTAGCCATCCTTGGTATGTTAAGATTGAGAATAAAAAAACTGGACAGTATAGTCTACGAAAATAAGCAAAGATTGTGAAGGACTGTGCCATGGGACATTATGGGGGATTATCGAAGCAAGAGAATCAAAGATGCTTGTGAACGTACAATGACCACACAAGCTAAGAAAAATGAGAACGGAAGGCTGAAAGACTGGGAGGGGCTAAAAGGATGCAGGACAGGTGAGGTGAAGTTCATTCACATCCTAAGACACTGAGTCAGATAAAAGGTGAGGCATTACTCAGTAACTCAGATATTTTTAAAGGTGAAGATAAAAACAGAATTCTCTTCATTTCACATTTGCAAATCTCTACAAACAGAGAAAGTAGGATAAATTGGATTTTGCTTTATACAACTTTGCTGAAAGTGTGTAAATGTTTATATGTCAAATAATGTATTAATGTTGATAATAATGGAAATTCTGACACTGAAGAGAATTTAATGACTGGTAAGTTCTTCTATAGGGTAAATAATCATTCTGTTATTCTTTTTACAACTGAGGATTTTCACATCATGAATTTGCAGGACATTAGCATGTATTTATGATTTAACCGTAGGAAAAATGCATCTCATTACAATTGAGTGTCAGAACACCTGATGAGCAATAGAAAAAAATTCCTAATCATAGATGTGTTTCCTTGTTTCCTCCCTCTTTTCAAGGTATGAATCATATTCTGAGAAGAGGGCTGAAAGGAGGACAAGACTCCACCCATCTGTGCCAGGACACAGCTGCATCAAGCTTACAATTTGCATCCTTAGAGCTGCACCCATTAGCTGCTCTTTTAGGTGCTAGGAAATTTCTGAAAGTGTTGCAATCAGCAATATCAGGTTAATTCAATAGGTTGTTTTCATTTTTGGAGAAAGCTTACATGAGGATTAAATATTAAAATGCCCTGATACTACATATTTTTGTCAGTTGAACATTACTGGATCTGTAAGTTTTGACAGTGCTAGTATGTAATTTGGTGATGTTTCTAGAATGAAAAAAACAAACTCTAAATTGATTTGTTAAGTTTGCCCATCTCATTCTTCTCAATCTTGTGACTAAATGACTACATTAGTTCACCTGTAAGTGACTTATCAACTCTACCCTCCTCCCAATGTGGGCACACACACACCCTAATACTTAAAAGCAGATGAAACTTTAACACATTAAATTATTAAATGGAGGCCCTGTGTTATGTATTAGATGTATTATGTGTATTACAATATAGATAGTAGGCACACTTAGTGTTATCTAAACAAATAATTTCTTCTAGAATTATTCTGCCTTTTTTGTTGCAACAACTTTTGGTGCTTTTATGGCTCAAAATTTTAAGAAATTTTGAGTCTTTTGCTAAAAAGAATATAAAAGATATTTATCCACATCATTTAGTTAATTAGGAAGCTCAAAATTAATGTCTTAAAACCTATTTCTTATGTTACCATAAAACTTATGTCCTGAAAAGTCTGAAAATTAATTTTTTACTTGAGTGTTGCTTTCAAAGATTAAATGGAAAGAGATTACTAGTGTTCACCTTGCCACTGATTTTATACATTAGTTGACCAAAAATGATTGGATATCAGCAATTTCATATGGTTCAATCTGCTCAGAGTTGGTTTCACATTAAACAATATAGCCCAATATATTCCAAAGAAAAGTCTTTGCAGCAGAGGGTAACCTCAGCTACTCTGCAACATGCTAAAAATACCAACTACAATACATATTCAGCACCAGAGGTTATGGTGCTAGCTTTCCATAAAACTCAGGGAGTAAGAAGAGGTAGGAACACTTTAAAACTTAACTCCCAATACAAAAATGTCATGCTACCCATAATTTTCAAATTCCATTCCCAAGTGTTTTGTTTGTTCACTTAACTTTTTTCTTGCCCACCTTCCACAGAAGGTGCTGAAGGGCAATGAATCTTCCAAGAGTTAAGAACACGTAGAAACCTGAGTAACCAGCCATTTCACAAGGCAATAATTGGCAAGAGTAATGCTGGCTTTGTTCTAAGTCAGAGGCTGACTTGATTATTTCTTAAATATAGAATATAAACATCCTTGGCTCACGCCTGTAATCCTAGCACTCTGGGAGGCCGAGGCAGGCGGATTGCTCGAGGTCAGGAGTTCAAAATCAGCCTGAGCAAGAGCGAGACCCCGTCTCCACAATAAATAGAAATAAATTAATTGGCCAACTAATATATATAGAAAAAAAAAAATTAGGCAGGCATGGTGGAGCATGCCTGTAGTCCCAGCTACTCAGGAGGCTGAGGGAGCAGGATCGCTTAAGCCCAGGAATGTGAGGTTGCTGTGAACTAGGCTGACGCCACAGGACTCACTCTAGCCTGGGCAACAAAGTGAGACTCTGTCTCAAACAAACAAACAAACAAAAAAAGAATACAAACATCCATAACCATTAAATGACTTTATAGAAAACTAGCCATATTATGATATGTAGAGATCACAACTAGTTGAAAACATGTTTTAAAATTCTGAAATATAAAAAATAAAGATTTTTGTATTTTCTAATGGGAGGAAGGTTCCTACATTTTCTGGAAGGTAAAACAGAAACCCAAACACAGGACAAAAACATAGCCCTGTAGAGCAACAATGTATTTTCCACAGAGAACAACAGAAATTTCCATTCTGAATCCTCCACTTCTTTATCCTAAAGTGTTGAGATTTTAATCAATTCAGACACTCTATACACAATTATTTGAGTCTCTTCTCATTTTTAATTTTATTTTGTAAAAAAGACAGATTTAGGATATGGTAAGAAATTACTAAGTTACATTTTTTTAAATCTGTCAATTGCTACAGTAATGGAATAAATAAATAAGATTTGTTAAAGTTCAATGTTTATAGACATATTTATAAAAAATGACTGAATTAGAAGACATTAAATAATGCTGATACACACCAGGAAGGGATTTAGGCAAGGAAAGGCACATCATTTTACCACAAGAAATAAAGACCATAATTGGAGGTTAATGGACAGCCAAAACTTTAGATCTTGTGGTAGGTTTCCCAGCTCTGGAGGGTCATTATGGTGGAAACTTCTTTATGGTACTTGGCTGGAATAAATGGATATCAGTTGGGGAATTTTACTCTGTGTCCCTAACATAATATTAAAAAGAAAGCACGTTTTTAATAATATGCCTGGTATATGAAGAGGGAAGGAGAAAAAAATCCAAAATACGTACTGAGAATCCTATTAAGGAGAGTTAAAAAAAAAAATTAAAATAGTAAAATTAACCCTCTTGTCTGGCTGAATTCTTGCAATTACAAAGTTAAAATTTAAAGTAAACACTGTATTTTTCACTTCTTGTAGACTGACACAGTATAAACAGCTGCCATACTTTACCTCAGATGAAGCTACTAAGTGCCAATGTTTAGGGGAAAGGATTATAGATAATTTCTCAATTTTATATATCTTAAATCTTTGAAAATAGCATGAATACCACTGGCTGACTGGCTATCTACAAGAACAAAATAAACATGAAGTTTTGACAGAGAGGTCTCCAAAGAAACTAAAGAGTTTGCAGTTGAACAGACAGAGTTACTTTACTTTTACTGAAAAATCTAACAAATATTAGCAGAACTTGTTTTGGGTCAATTTCCTACTGCCAATTTTCACAAATTTGTGCCAAGTCTCTATCCCATTTCTTTCTGTCTGGACTCTTGAATCTAGTTTGTTGGAAAGATGGAACCACTTAGAGTAAACCACATTATGTTTTAGTAGTATTAAGTGAGCATTTAGTGGTGTGTGTGTATAAATAAAATAGATTTTCAGAATCAAATGGTATATCCACCAAAAAATAAAAATTAAATTAAAAACAAATGGAAGGGAGGCAAGGGTAAATGTCATTATTAAAAAAATAATAAAAATGGCAATTGTAAAGCAGGCGGCTTCCCGCTCATGCCACGCGATATGCCTTCATTAAGGTATACTCTTTCCGGTTGGTGTGAGCGGCCCAGATGAAGAGAGCAGAAGCCATGAACTGCAAGGGAGCTGAGACGCAAGCCAGGCAGAAGGACCATCCAAATTCACCAGATACATTCTCAGGCAGTTCTAGTTTCTGGTGGAGGAGTTCAATTCCAGCAACATAGCAACTTACTGAGCCCAATGTACATAGACCTTAGGGGAAAATTTAGAAAACAAAACATTAGTAGGTAAAGAACACAGTAAAAAAGCTTTTCAGGGAACATGCCAGGGCAGTAATATGTGAATGTTTAAGGATTATAATTCTTTGGTCCCTACAAAAAGACAGGAAGAAGCTAAAAGGTAAAAATGATGACAAGACCTACCTGCAAGGAGATGGAGAATGCCTGTGGCAATGGTGGGATACAAGCTTCGGCAAATACAAGCACAAAGTCCAATCAAAGCTCCAAAGCACATCAAACCTAAACTAACAAAAGGTAAAAGGAACTGGCAACGCCAAAGATCTGATTTTTAAAAAGAGAGAAAAAGAAAGAATGGAAATGATACCATGATTTCAGACCATTTTCCCACAAAGTCAATTTCTATCATATTCTAATTAGACCTTTTATCAAAAAGTGAGAAGTAAGTATTGAGGCCCCTTTCTAAAAGATATTGTTCAAAAGGATGCTAACTTTGTCCCAATAAAAGTGAAAGGACACTAATAGGTAACAATTACTGAGGGCTTTTTATATGCCATGCAATGTTTGTTCTACACATGCTTTGTATACGTATTAATCCTCCCAACAACACTAGGAAGCAGGTACATTTGGCCCTCCGTATCAGAGGACTCCACATCTAAGGATCAAAAATATTTGGGGGGGAAAAACAAAAAATAACAATACAAATATAAAACAATACAGTATAATGATACAGTATTTACATAGCATTTACATTGTATTGGAATATTATAAAGTAATCTAAAGATGATTTAAAGTACATGGGAAACTTGTATAGGTTATATGCAAATACCATACCATTTTATATAGGGTACTTTAACATTTTTGTATTTGGGTATCTACAGGGGGTCCTGGAACCAATCCCCCAACACCGAGGGACAATTGTATTATTATTATCTCCATTTTATAATTGAGGAAATTGAGGCAAGAGGCATAAATAACTTACACAAAATAACACAGAAGTAAGTAGGAGAGCCAGGATTTAAAGCAAAAACAGTCTGGCTCTACATACAAACATTATCTCAGCCCTTACTGGATCTAAAGGCAGTAATAAGTAAATAAATGGTGATTAGAAATGACCTGTCTTGCAGGGCTGTTGAAAGTATACATAAAGCACAAAGCAGAGAATCTGGACTATACCAGGTGCTCAATAAATGGAAATTTTAAATATTATAAATCCCTCATCAACATGGGAAGAAAACTGATGACCTTACCAAAAAAAAAATCTCCATTCCATTTTCAGATAATTTTAACCATTAGCAATGCATTAATATCAATCTTAACCAAATTCTACTTTTTTGCACTGGTTTTAACTTTCTGGGATTTCTTAAGTCTTCCTTCCTAACTTCCTTCCCTTCAAACTCTGCCAGTGATAAACTTCTGGCTATGCCTCCTCATTGCAAAACTGAATACCTGCAGTTTATTCAACCTTTTCTCTCATAACAGTCATTCTTCCAAGCAAGCTCTGGCCAAGTCTCTATATCCCTGAAAACAGATGCTCAAATCTGAAGATAGTTTTTCAGGGGCTGCCTGATGATTAAGGAATAAAACATTCCTAATATATACTTTCTTTCTTTCTTTTTTTCAATATCTATGCTTTTGTTCTACTACCTAAGACTAGATCAATACTTTTGGCAGGACTGATACTCAGTGACTCATTTACAGCTTGCAGTCAATTTTTCACATATGCCTATCTGAATTCAGGAAGTATTTAATTCAAATACAGGAATTTATAATTTATACCAACTATATTTCCTCTTAATTAAATGAGTTCATTAATAACATCTTTTGGAAGCCTACATTCCATCATCCAAGGTACTAGTTACCACCCTAAACTTCAAATCATTTTAAATTTGGTAAGTATGTATATTCATTCTAAAATGTTACCAATAGAATAGTTCTTTGGGATACTGTCAGAGATCTCATTTCAAGTTGGCACTACCTACTACATCTTATTCCAAAAACAAAATTCAACAAAGATAAATAAAATTATTCCCCCAATTTTTCTGGTGAAATCAAAATACTCACAGGTCCGAAGTAGATCAATTCCACTATTGTGGTTTCCGGGATCAACAAATTTCTCCATGAACTGCTCAGTTAGTGTGAAACTCATGCATTTTGTGACCACATCAAATGACTCTGGAACAAGAACAACAATTGCTTATTGTTTTAATTATAAACATTTAACAATAATCTCTTTCAGTAAGCATTCTCTCAAATAAAATGTGAAATAGAAAGATGTTTCCAGAGGAGTCGGCCCTGATCCTTTGGCCCTGAGTGACACACAGGTCTCACAGACCACCAATGGATGCCACTGGTTCTCAGCAGTAGGCTGAAGACACAGGCACAGAAAGGGAAAAAAAGTAAGAGCAGGAAAATGAATAACTGAATAGATATGTAAGAAGCTAAGGAAGAAAAGGCAGGGGACAAAAACTGAAACAAATAGGAACTTTGATCTTCTCCCCCAAAACCTGTTCTACTGGCCATGTCCCCATCTCAGAGAATGACAATTCCATCCTTCCAGTTCCTCCAGCCAGAAACTTTAGAGTCATTTTTACCAATTTACACTCCATCAAGAAATCCTAGAGGTTCTTCATTCAAAGTATATCCAGAATCCAGCTGCTGCTCAGTGTCACCACCCTAGTCTGAGTCATAATCATCTCTTACTTGCATTACTGCAACAGCTTCCTAACCGTTCTCCTAGCTGCCAATCTGTTCTCACCACATCAGCCAGGGTGGCCAGATCATGCCTCTCCATTACTCAATGACCACCTTGGCTCATTATACTCTGAGTAAAAAACTGAAGTCCTCACCATACCTAAACAGTCCTACCTGATTTACCCAACTCCCAGAGTACAGCTCTGACAGCATCCTCAACTCTCCCTCCATTCCAGTTCTAGGGCTTCTTTGCTGGTATATTTGCTTGTATATTTCAGACATGCTCCTGCCATAGGGCCTTTGCAGGTTCCTTCCAACCTAAATGATTACCCTCCCCTCAATTACCTATGTGGCCAACTCCCTCACCTAGTCTTTACTTACATCAAGTCTTTACTCAAGTGGTGTCTTCTGAATGAGGCCTATCCCAACTATCCTATTGAAAATCATAACCTAGGACCTGCAGTATTCCTATCCCCACATATTTCCAAATCCCCTTTATTTTGTTCTCTCTTTCCATAGCACACATCACCTTCTAATATTTATTGTTTATACTATTATACATCTGTTTATTTGCTTGTCACCCCTTATTAGAATGCTAGCTCCCCAGCAGTAAGGATTTTTATTAATTTTTGTTTTCTTCCCTAATGTTCCCCAAGCTACAAGGCCTTGAAACATGGAAGCATGCAATAAATATTTGTTAAATGAATGACTAAATGACTCGTCAGACTACTATATGAAGCACTCCTATATCCTCATAAGTAGAATTGAACATTTTACAATGAATTTTAACCAGCTTCCTATCCTTTCTTTCCAAACTAGTTCCTTTTCTTCCTATATAAAGACATACTAGCATCCTTTTGATATATGATAACTCAAGTCTGTTCTGCTAAGATTTGAATACAATGCTTTCCCACTAAGAGGCCAAGTAGTCATAAATAAAAATAAATTATAAAGTTGTTCCTTAAAAAGATCTCTAAAGCTTCCATTTTAGTAACTGGAAATTAAAATCTGCAAGTATTAAATAAGAATGCTTGCAAAATAATCTGAAAAACAGCTTAGACTTTTTTCCTTTACTTCTATAATACAAATGTTTTAACTACAAACTCTGTATCAAGATTGTTGTAAAACAGTCTCAAATATACATAGATTTAAATGCAGAGTTAGTCAAATTATATCCTCTAAGATATAGGGGTCAAATGACAGATATGTATTATAACACAGCTAATCCATAAAAGGATAATCAATTAACATTTGCTGACTTGATTTTGGATGCCAGTCCTTTTATAGCTACCATATATTTAAAGTTTTCCAGTGTACTTTTCCAACTATTTCCTTATGACATATATAAGGTAAATATAAAGTATTTTAATGAGTAAATAAGTACAAAAATTTTAAATGGCTTTCCCAAGATAAGAACAGCTACTCATCCATCTAATATTAATGAGTACCATGGTAAAGTATAGAAGTTGAGAAGAGAAAGTGGTAGGAAGAGGAACTATACAAAAGATTTATTTCTTTAAGGAGAGAGAGAACCCAACAAACGTGCTTATACATAATTGGGCAATCATCATACCACTGTTTATTATTGAGTAGATAAAGGAGAGAGAAATTATAATAAGAGGAATAGCTACCTGTCCTTTCTGGTGGGCTATACCAATGTGAGTTTTTAGGTATGGTGATACACCGTCTCCACAATCCCACTGTGCCATTATATCTAAAAAGTGCATCATTATAAGTCTTTTCATCAGCTTCATCACTAATGAAGTCTTCCCAGATGCTTTTGTTCAAATCACTGGAATTTTCTTGAACTGGACTTCGATATTCATACCAGAAGTCTGTGCCAATTGAGGCTGCCATGTAGATGGTAGAAATGAGGCTGAGCACACAAGCAATTACAAATGCTGTTGCAAAACGGTTATCCATTCTGGCATTCAGACTGCTCTGTTTAAAAGTTGAAGAAATAAGAAAAGTTAGACTTTGATGACAAATAATAGACTTTGAAAGGAATTATCTCAAAAATGACCCTTTACCCTTTTCCCCATTCCTTCGTCATTTAAAGTAGTATATAATCATTAAGGAATTTTATTTTACAAAAGCAAGCATGTTCTTAATTAAATTTAAAACAAAACTTATTCTCATAAGAGTACTTATTGAATGCTCACATACCCAGGATGCTACGGAGACAGAGGTCTTGTTCTCTAGTCTATCACCTGCATACTAAAACAGACAACACTGAAAAGGACATACACATTACAAATACAAACAACAGACATGCCCATGGTCAGCAGTGCACACATTTTTAATTACAGAGTGAATTTTTACACAAGTTGCAGAGCATTAAGTGTTCTGGTTTCGAGTGTGAAAAAGGCATAGAAAAAGGAAGCAGTGGAAATCGGCTCCTCCCAGTTTCCTCCGAAGAGGGAAGCCTCCTAAAACAAGGGTAAGAGTCAGGACCTATTTGGAAGACAGAGTTGAAGATGTTTGTTAGCCCGAGGGAAAGGTTGTTCTAGGTATATGGAATAGCAAAGAGAATAATAACATGTAATAATACTAGATATCAATCTCCCCCTAATCCATTAAAGCTAAACCAAGCTTCTTAACGCTGCCAAATTCTTCACTCCTATCTACTCTCCCCACTCCTTACACTTCCGAACCTTCTCAGCTGCAACCTCGCTCTATCCCTAAATCCTAAAGTGCAACGTATGTCCACAAGAACTAAATGATCCCTCCTCAGACAGAAAACTCTAAGCTAGGCAAAATATGAACACTCCCAAGGCGTGGACGGGGCTCAACAGCCGTAGTAAATGGCCGCAGTAAAATGACTCAAGGCGGATCACGCTGAGTCAAACACTGGACTGAGAGCACACACCGTGTCTGCACTAAACACCTCACAAAGGTGCACGAAAACAGGATCGCAAACTGGGGTTGCTGAGTTTGTTAAATGGGAAGTGACTCAGTAAAGATTAGGGCAATTACAATAATTAACGATAACTCAAGTTGTTGGGTTTGTATTTTGATTTTTTTTTTTAAATCCCCCCTTTATACTGGTGCTCTCAAATGACCTTAAAAAGGTCCCAGCACCAGGAACCGCGGCTGGCTCACGCCGGACGCCTGGAACCGTCAGCTCGCGGGCCGCAAGGCGGGCCGGGCGGGCCGGGGCTGGGGCGGGGCGGCCCTACGCGGCCCCGGCCAGGGGCCCCGGTACCCAATCAGGCCCCTCCCCAGACCGCTCGGGCAGGAAAACCCCGGCCGCTCAGAACCCGCCCAGCCCCGACCGCGCACGGGAAGGGGCCCCCTAGTCAAACTGCCAGGAACGTCAAACAGCTCCCCGACCCCGGCCCAGCGACGCCGCCCCGCTCACTCACCGCCCATCCTCTTGCTCCACCAGCTTCACTCTCTAGCTCAGACCACAGCACCCTACTCTCCCCGCGCCTCCTCTGACGCACTTCCCTGCAGAGCCCGCCCCCTCCATAACTCCCGCGCCTCCGCCTCCGCCTCCACCCAGGGCCGGGCCGCGGCCCGCGGCCGAGGGGGCTTGTGGGAGTTGTAGGAGGGACAGGAGGAAAGCTGCGAGCGGCGGCGGACATGCCTGGCGCCCGCGCGGCGCATTCTGGGGGATGTAGTTCCGCTCCCGAGGGCAGGTCGAGGCGCAAAAAGTGAGGTCCGGACTGATGGATTCCTTTGTGTTAAGATGGAAGGGTCGAAGGTACAGAAAGGAAGATTGGCCTGCCTCCAGTCACAGCTTCTCCGTGATTGTGACCTGTATAATTCAGATCTGGGTTTCAGGCCCTGTTAAACCATGCTGCCTCTAAATATAAGTACAAATAAATACGAATGGGATTCTACTTTTGAAACGTTAACCTTGAGGTCCCCAATCTCTGGGCCGTGCATCATCGCCCGAGCTCCGCGCAGCCCCGGTCCCTGGAAAAAATGTATTTCGTGAAAGTGAGGAACCAGGCTCCACAGCAAGAGGTGTGCAGCTGTCCAGCGAGGGAAGCTTCATCTGTATTAACAGCCGCTCCCCAAGGCTCGCATCACCGCCGGAGCTCTGCCTCCCCCCACCCATCCCGACACTGTGGAAAAGTTGTCTTCTATGAAACTGGTCACTGATGCCAAAAAGGTTGGGGACTATTGCTAACCCATTTTTCCCCCTCTGGCAACCTCCTTCTCATTAGAGCAGAGAGTCTTTCTGGTTTCCCTGCTTAAGTTTAGACTAAAAAGGATGTGGCCTGGAAGACAGTGCCCATCTAGAATGTAAATGACGTTATTTGGGTTTCATAAAACTTATGTTTGTGGCTGCCTCTTTCTATGACAAGTGATATTAGTTTTCTATTGTAACAATGTCAAGTTTGCTTTTAAAATAAATTTCAATTAATTTAAAAACTATTAAGTTAATGATACCGAGGATACCAGATATGTCAAAAATGTGAATAAAAAATTGAGAACGTTGTATGAAAAAGAATGAAGTTGGGGGAACATTACCTTAAGCAGATAAGGTCACGGAGAGCACGTAAGATTGCAGATGACTGTATGACACAGAGGTAACAGCATGTTTCTAAACCCTCAAGTATTGCACGGAAATTCATGGACAGGAATCAGAGACTCCTTAGCAATAAAATGTGTGGACCTATGAACCTAGCCTGGAATCAGTAAATAATGGGTTTCTCAACAGATAACTATAGAAACAGTTGACTCAAGGACCAGAGGGGCTCTCAAGACCCTACTCTGCTCCCTAATGCCGTGGAATTTAGGCACTGCACAAGTGAAATCTGGGATCCCCACGCTGATATAAAATTTCTACCATATAAATTTTCTACCATCCTGACAGATTGAAGGCATGATATCTGTTTTTCTATCTGTAGTTTTATTTTTTCACCTGAGTTGGTAAACTGATATTTGTACATAGTGAATAAATAAAATAAAGTAAGAGCCAAATATATCATAATATTCAAACATGACACTGGATTCATGTATAACATCTAATCAACGGAGACTTTTGTCAGAGGCATCAACTAGAGAAAGTAGTGGAGATTCACAGGCAAATTGTCAGTAAGACTTGTAAGTGCCTTTATGTACTGGGAAATGTCTTCATCCATTGGCTTCATTAGAAATCCCCTACTTTCAGATCCACCTCTCTACTGAGGTCAATAAACCCAAAAGAGAAGAAGAAATAACCTTAGTTTACAGATAAGGGAACTGAGACCCAGGGAGAGTAACTGACTTGGTGGCAAACTTGAATATTGGTGTGAGTATACTAGCTTTGGGACTTTGCACAATTAACTTTCTTTAAGTCTCAGTTGTCTTTTCTCCAAAACATGGTTGTTGACAATAGCATCTATCCCACATGACCATTGTGAGGATTAATGAGAAAATACATATAAAATGCCCAGCATAGGACCTAGGGCTTAGTAAAAAATCATTAAATTATTATCATTTGCAAATATTTATTGAATAACTATAATATTTGAGTAAGGTCAGTATAAACAGCTTTTTAAAGCTCCCTGATTCTCCCTAGGGGGTGGAAATAAGCCATTTATAGAGATAGGTGCCCCTGCTCACTTCAGCGGCTTTAAAAACCTCTGGACTAATTGCCAAATGACTGGGAAAGATTCGCCAGGACCAGTATCTCTGGCATCCTTGTTTAGCCCTGCTCACGAGATCCCAGGCCTGGGCACACGTCGTAGACGAGTCGTTATGACTCAAGGAAGTGGGTGTTTCTGGGAAGACCTGCAAAGAAAGGTGGCGCTTTCACACAAGTCTGCACAATGCCTAGAAAACACTCAGGACACATTTCATTTACCAACTTAATGTGAACCTGGAAGTGGCTGCGTGTTTGAGGTTTTCACCACTCTGAATCCCTCAGCACAAAGCACACAATCTGCCACATCACACCCAGTTCCAGCAAACATACAACCATATTTCTGGTTTATTTCTGCATCTTTGATGTTTTCTCATTTCTAGTTATGCTTGCTTGTTGTGTGGGTTGGTAAAATAATTAATTAATGGAGCAAAATTTCTACTTCTGTTTCTTTCTTTGCTGTTTGGGAAATATTAGCTGGCCTCACATCTTTTCACAAATGTTAAAGATGATTCGATGCAACCACATACACATGGAATTTAGGTTTAAAAGCAAAATTGAACTAGGATTCTGGCTTAACTGGTTAAAGATCGGTCTAGTTTCAGCAAGAAGGCATTATAGTTATACTATATTTAAAATAAACCCAATAACAGAAAATCTAGATATTCAGATATTATAACTTGTTTTTATTATGTGCTTATGAAACAACTCTTCACGTGAAAATTTCTTTCAATACCAAATTCCCTAATATACAAAAATATGATTTTATTTTTTAATTTTACATTTTTAGGAACTAAAAATTATGTTAAGCAAGATATGTCTACATTATGTTTTTCTTGTGTAGTTTTGTCTTGGTTTTTTCCTTGTGAACTTTGTATTTCAGAAAGGAGGAAAATAGTAATATATACAAGCTCCCTGTTTCAACCAAAAACAATCCTTTAAAAAAAGTATCATTCTTTGAATTTCCTTGCGCACATTCACTCTAGATCAAAGACAAGGCGAATAGAAAAACGCATCTAAAAGAGAACCCAGATATAAAACCATCCTCAGATAGCCATCTAATCTTCAACAAAGCAGACAAAAACATACACTGGGGAAAAGAATCCTTATTCAGTAAATGGTGCTGGGAAAACTGGATAGCCACATGTAGAAGACTGAAACAGGACCCACACCTTTCACCTCACAAAAATCAACTCACGCTGGGTAACAGACTAGAACCTTAGGTGTGAAACTATTAGAATTCTAGAGGAAAACATTGGAAATACTCTTCTAGACATATAAAATGCCCAGCACAGGACCTAGGGCTTAGTAAAGAATCATTAAATTATTATCATTTGCAAATATTTATTGAATAACTATAATATTTGAGTAAGGTCAGTATAAACAGCTTTTTAAAGCTCCCCGATTCTCCCTAGCGGGTGGAAATAAGCCATTTATACAGATAGGTGCCCCTAGGCAAAGAATTTGTGAATAAGACCCCAAAGGCAATCACAGCAGCAACAAAAATAAATAAATGAGACCTGATCAAATTAAAAAGCTTCTGCACAGCCAAAGAAATAGTCAAGAGAGCAAACAGACAACTCACAGAATGGGAGAAAATTTTCACAAGCAACACCTCCAATAAAGGGCTTATAACTAGAATCTATTTAGAACTCAGGAAAATCAGCAAGAAAAAATCAAACAATCCTATCAAAAAGTGGGCAAAGGACATGAACAGAAATTTTTCAAAAGAAGATAGAATAATAGCCAACAAACATATGAAAACATGCTCAACATCTCTAATCATCAGGGAAATGCAAATCAAAACCACAATGTATATGCTGTGCTAACTTTAAAAACATCTTTTCATATAAGTTTGTGTTGTAATGAAGGTCTCATTGAATTTTCATCACATCATATCATAGCTATCACAGATTGAATAGAAAACGGAGACTGTCCAAGAAGTTTGTAAAGGGACTGTTACCCTATTCATTGGAAATAATTCAAAATGTAAGCATGATTAAGCCCAGGTCTACAAACATTTGCCGACTGACTGTTGCAAGCCAGACACCCTGCTGGATGCCAGGCACATGGACATAAATAAACACAATTTTTGTTATGAATAACCTAAGTACGGATTAAATCTACTATCATGAAGAAGCTTAAAGTATTATTCCTAGAATAGTAACATCATTGCTATCTACATAAATATTAGTTATCAAGGGAAATAATCCAATAAACTAAAGGGAGGTGATAATAGCAAATACATGCCACTTAATTTGGCATGATATGATATTGCATTATATAGTACTAAATTCTCCCACTAACTGCGAGAATAAAAACTAAAGCATAAACAGTTTTCTGAAACTGGACTATTTAAATGATTATGCACTTTATAGACTCAAGTAAGAAATAGACAAGGGAATGTATCTAACACATGAATAATTGCACTGTCTGACTTATAAGATTAATGAGAAATAATTCATTGGCTTCGTGTTCTTTTATTCTGGCACATATCAGCAGAGCATTATAAACAGAAGGCTTTGTATCCAGGGAAATCTTTCTGCCGTGTTATATGCATGAAAAGAATCTCCAGTTGATATGGTGATTGATAAAGAAGAAGCCAAAGTAATATAATCATAAATCCAGAGACCACGACCCAATTCAGGTGGCTATGTTCTTACTAAATCTTCCGCCCACCTGTGAAGCAGAGGCTGCAAGCCACAGCAGATAGTAATGGATTCACTTAAACAGATGTTTCAGGGGACGAAACCTTACCCTCTCCTCATCTTCAGCATCTGATCCGGTTCTGAACATATCTCAGGAATTGGAACATAGAATAAGTAGACTCAGAAATCTAAATTAATTCCAAAAATTTTGTGAGATCCAGGCTGAAAGACTTCCACAAAGTTCAAATTTTAAGGTAATTTTTGAACTTTTTAAAAAACATTAGCCAAAATAATAACAAAACATAACATATAATATTGGCTAATTTATGTAAACTAGAACAGTGATTCTAAACTTTAGTTTGTATAAAAAACCACCTTGGATTTTTGTAAGACATAAGTCCCAGACTTCATCCTTAGTGATTCTGATTCAGTAGATCTAGGGCAAGGTCTAGGAATCTACAGTTCAGCAGATGTCCCAGGTGACTCTAATGTGGGTAATGTGGTCTGGTATCAACAGGTTCAAAGAAAAGGCTTTAAGAGTCCAAAAAGAACTTTAGTTGGGTAATTGCTAGGTAGAGGCTAGTGGAGAGATAACAGATGGACTCTGCCTTTAAGTTCCAGCCTATCAGCTCAGGGGGTCGGATACCAAGACAACTAACAATGTGCAATGAGATAAGTATTTTACAAGCAGTATTTTTAAAGTTCTTGGGGAATACAAGGAAGGAAGCAGTTATTTCTGTCCGAGAGAAAAATTAAGCGTTTTTTTCTGAAAGAACAATTCTTAAGAGGTAACACATATTCTATAATTCAGTTACTAATATTTACATCTTATTCTTTATTTTGTCATCACCCTATTTTTACTGCCTTTTCATATGCTTATGGAACCCAGTGTTGCTTATGGAACCCCTTGTTGCTTTTGTGTTTTGATTTATGTACAGGTGGTTATTTTATTGTCAGTATCTTCATGTTTACTTCAAAGAGCATTCAAAGTCCTAAAAATAGCCGTTGCACCCTATTTATTTAGAACTTTGACCTTTTCCACTTTATCTAGCTAACTTTATTGTGGGCTCTGTCTTATACTAACACTATACTCCTAGTACTCTAGTACTATGCTATCTGTTCCTTTTTTGGCTTAAAACATTTAATTTGTTTTCTAATTTGGGTCCCAAGATACTGTTGATCCATGATGGATATTTTTATATTGTGGCATTCTACCATTAAACACCATATTTCAAAGTGGCCATGTATGATAAAGGAAACTACTTTGTCTATAGATGCTAAGGAAATCAGATTTGTTTGAGATAGTTTACATCAGCAGGCCAGCAACTTTTGAAACTTCAAAGAAAATTTAAGGTCTACAGAATCCATGTACAGCCAAATGTTTTTCTTTAGAATATGAGCATGAACTCGTTTCCATTTTATAATACTTCTATGTTGAATTCTTGAGACATATCTAAGAATTAAAAAAAAAAAAAAAAACTTAAGGTCTACAGAATCCATGTACAGCCAAATGTTTTTCTTTAGAATATGAGCATGAACTCGTTTCCATTTTATAATGCTTCTATGTTGAATTCTTGAGACATATCTAAGAATTAAAAAAAAAAAAAAAAACTTAGACCCAGAATCAACCTTATTTTCTCAAATGCCAAAAGAACTTTTGGTTGCAGAGTACAAAATTCTAATATTAAAATTAAAGTACAATTACAAATAAAGAATATATATGATTAATACTTTAAGACACATATGTGCAATACATACACATATGGATGACATGTTTAAATATTCCATTTAATCCTTTTCAAGTAAATATTGTCCTACTTCAAATTATTTGACAAAATGAATTATTCTATTAAATAATAAGGCTCACCCAGTGGGAAAGATTTCTGTCCCAGAAATGTCAAAGCTGTTAATTAGTTTCTCTGATCTGCAATCTATATTTAGTGAAGGATATTCCCCCTGTGAAATTAAGTGACTAGCACGGAGCAGTCAGGGACACAGGGGAAGGCAGGCTCAGGCCCATAAATCAACTCCTGCGTGACTTCCTGAGACTGTGCCAGGTTGGGGGAGTGTTCGTCCTTCCCTGACTTCAACTCACGTACATGCCTGACATTGAGGTGACATTAGACCACATCAGGAGGAAGAGAGGAGGCAGTACAATAGGCAGGATCATTCTTTTCAATAAACTAATTACTGAAGAAATTAAAGTTCAGCAGAAAGGACTTCAAATGTTTAACGATGATATTTTCATCTACAGGTATATATTTTTCTATGTAATAGTAATATCAACCTGAAACTGGAATTTCAAAAAGTAGATGAGATAGTAGGAAGGAGAGAAGGAGAGAAGGAGCATGAGTCACTTTGGCCAGGAAAGAATTGAAATAAATGGAGTCATTTTGAAAATTTGTTATATTTTCCTATGCTCTTCATAATATAGAAGGAAACATATGAAAGAAAAATATGATAGAATTGATTCTGTTTTAGCCTGTTTCCCACATGTTTTGATTACACCAAAAATCTTCCTCTTGTAGTGCCTATGCTAGTGTGTCTGTTGCCAGGCCAGAAAGTCCAAAAGTGAAGTTCGTTGATATATGGAGGCACTTAACAAAAAGCAATGGCTTAAAAGCTGAAATGTCATTGCTACAAAGGTGCAATATAATGAGGAGAAGATCAAAGGGGATCCAGAGTCTGAAGAAGGATAGCTGTTTGAGGCTTAGTAGAGACAAAATCTCCTAATCGAAGATGTTAACCTGAACCAAAGGGAGCTTCATGGGTTGAATTATTAAAGCAGGCAAGAGGGTAAAAATAACAGTTTGTGGTTTTTTAAATCTGTGTTTGTAAGCTGTATAACAACAGTGCCTGCCATTAGAGCCTAAGGAATTCATTCCTGCTCATTATATTGGATAACAAAAATAAGAATTTTCGGAACAAATCTAATAAACTAACATTTCCAAGGCACCAACTATGTGCAAGATGCTACGCTAGTTGTAGTAGTATATTTAAAACAACAATAATAATAAAAGCACAAAATGTGGTCCCAGCCTTTGGGGGATTTTTATTAATAAAAACTTACTGAACGAGACAGGGTCATTTAGATATGAAATGAAAGAGCCAAATAAATGACAAGGATCTCATGCCCTAATTGAAATCATGCTGTTTGCCCTAGGTGTATGACTTGGGAAAGTGTCAATTCACTCTTTACACAATGAAAGACTAATTTTCTTCATATTTCACCAATGAAGTAAATAAAAAGAGTATCTTCATCATCATTATCACCTTCCAATTCTGAAAGTCAAACAGTATGTTATGTATGAAACAGAAGGCTTGATCAAGTGAAATCTCAGTGTCAGAAAAGCAGAGGTGGTCTTTAAAGGAGGTGAGAAAAATAAGTTAATTCATGTCTTAATTTCTGGATTTAAATAACCAAATCGAACATCTTGAAGAAAGAAGTCAAAAAGCACCTCAGTTTCATGGGCAAATGCAGAAAAAGAAAACCACAACCACAACCAACCAGCACTAATCAGGGTGGTGTTCCTTGTGGGCCCTTTCTGAAGATTGGTAGAAACTGCGTTTTTTAATCTCTGTTTTCAAACTTGTCCAAAATCTTTAAAGGGAGAAGAAGAGAGAGAGAGGACGAGAGAGAGAAGAGCACTGCATAAAAGAAGCTCCCTTGAAGATTTCTAAAATTCATACAAAAACGCCATAGGTAAGGAGACTTACCTGATTTGGCATCTGATCTTTAGTGATGGACTCAGAAGCAACCTCGGATTATTTGGATTATTACTATGCTACGAGCCCAAACCCTGACATCAGGGAAACCCGCTCCCATGCTCGTTATACCTCTGTCTTCCTTCCCATCTTTTACATGGCCGTATTCCTGGCTGGCGTGTTGGGGAACCTCATCCTCATGGGTGCGCTGCATTTCAAACAGGGCAGCCGAAGACTGATCGACATCTTCATCATCAACTTGGCTGCCTCCGACTTCATTTTCCTTGTCACGTTGCCCCTCTGGGTGGATAAAGAAGCATCTTTAGGACTGTGGAGGACGGGTTCTTTCCTGTGCAGAGGCAGCTCCTACATAATCTCAGTGAACATGCACAGCAGTGTCTTCTTGCTCACTTGCATGAGTGTGGACCGCTACCTGGCTATCGTGTGCCCAGCCATATCCAGGAAATTCAGAAGGAGAGACTGTGCATATGGAATCTGTGCCAGCATCTGGTTTATCTCTGGCCTCCTGGGGCTGCCCACCCTTCTGTCCAGGGAGCTCACGCTGATTGACGATAAACCATACTGTGCAGAGAAGAAAGCAACTTCAATTAAACTGACTTGGGCCCTGGTGGCCTTAATTTTCACCTTTTTTGTCCCCTTGCTGAGCATTGTGACCTGCTACTGTTGCATCACAAGGAAGCTGTGTGCCCATTACCAGCAGTCTGGAAAGCACAACAAAAAGCTGAAGAAATCCATAAAGATCATCTTTACTGTCGTGGCAGCCTTTGTCATCTCCTGGCTGCCCTTTAATACTTTCAAGCTCCTGGCCATTGTCTCTGGGTTGCAGCAAGAGCTCTATTTGTCCCCAGCCATTCTTCAGCTGGGCATGGAGGTGAGTGGGCCCTTGGCATTTGCCAACAGCTGTGTCAACCCTTTCATTTACTATGTCTTTGACAGCTACATCCGCCGGGCCATAGCGCACTGCTTGTGCCCTTGCCTGAAGAACTATGACTTTGGGAGCAGCATGGAGACATCAGATAGTCACCTCACTAAGGCTCTGTCCAACTTCATTCATGCAGAGGATTTTGCCAGGAGGAGAAAGAGGTCTGTGTCACTCTAAAATGAACTGTGACATTTCAAGCCTTGTGATGTGTTAGGGAGTTAAATTTTGTCAGCAACAAAGAAAGAAGAAAAGTATTAATGATAGAATTTATATCACTTCATAAATACAGGGAAGATTAATTTTTAAAGAGAGGGCTAAAATGTCCCTGTGTTGTGGATGTGATTAGGCAGTGTGCTGAAAAACCGCTGTGCAGCCTTATTTGACTGTTGCCAATGAAGACTACCAGGCAAAATACAATTCCCATCTGTCCTTGAACCCTTAGACAAAGGCTTCTGCTTGAACCACTTCCTTTCTTCATGATTGTTAATGTACATTCAGACCTTTCTTTTCTCAAGAACCATGGTAACTTTTATCTTTCCTGTTGGGCTCCAAATTAGACTGTATTTAAAAAATTCTGCCCACTTTCATCTGGTAAGAAATATAGTGACAATTTAGCTAAGACAAATATAATATATCTGCGTTCTGTCATTATTGTTCCTGAGTTACTAAACTAAGCTACATCCTGGCCTCAAGTTTTATAGCTTTGTATAGTGATTCAACATTGTCATCCTGTGTCTACTCACAATGGCTTTGGACTGGCTAAAAGCTCATGCGGATAAAATCATTTTATGTTGTGTTTATGATTTGGGACTGACTTTATCACTTGACCTTCTAGCATCTTAACACATAAGCATAGGGCAAGGTTTGACCTCTTGCCTTATAAGATATATTGGCAGAAATGTATCTCATTATAATGGTGTAGTAACTGCTTTTTAATAGAGTTTTACTATGCTCTTTTGTTTTCATTGCCTTTCTAAATTAGGATTTAGCTTTGCTTTAATTACATGTTTTTAATTACCCAGTTATCTAGTTATCAAATAAAAATGTTGCTACTAATATAATTGGGGCTCAGCAAATGCTTAGCTCCACCTCGATGCAGATTATCTTTTGTATTTTAATTAAAATGTTAGTGCTTCACATTCCCTATAGCATCATTTGCTTGGTGTATATCATTTCAATATGAGATCTACTAATACAGGGAGACAGGATTCTCTATATTAAGCCAAAGTGAAAAATCTATAACAAAGATGTTACTAGTATTTTATATATATTTTTCCAAATACAGAAACTTTCCTGAATTCCTACAACTAATAAATATTTATTGAGTCAATTTGTACCTATATTTCTTTCAAAGACTTTGAAGTGAAAAACATGTGAATAGTGGCAACCACAAAAGGCTTTGCAGCAGCAAACATGCTATATTGTAAACATCTTTTGATTCAAGAGAAAGTGGTTTATGTTTTTTATTCCTGCTGTTGACCCTAATGAAATACCATTTTACTTCTAAATATTAGGCTTGAAAATCAGAAAAAGCTTAGAATCTTTTCAGAGACTAGGTAATTTAATATCATCCCATGTATCTTTCACATTAAAAGAAATCTCAAATATTAGACATTTTCTCATATTATTGCCTTTTTAGAAGTGGAAAACACAGTTTTTGGTTTTGTAAATTAATTAATTTGTTAATTCTCTTAAATTTTTATTAAATAAAATATAATTTCTTTACATAGCATTCTATACTATAGTTATTAATTTCTAACAATACATTACTATTAATTAGTATTAGTATTCTAATCTTTTAATAAGTTATCATTGTTATAGAAAAAATACTTTTTTAAAATTATAACAAATAAATCTTGGAAAACTTAAAAACTGCACTCAGAATTGACTGTATCTCCAAAGGTTAAACAAAAACAAAAAAATAGAAGGTGGAGGGCATGCTTTTCTTTAAAACAAATTGACAAGAGCACTATTTCTAATCATGAAAGTTATTGCCTTTGAGAAGTACTGCCTTTAAAATATAACTGAATCAATCAGCTAAGGTATTTTTTGGGAAATGAGAAAATCTGAGTTATTAATTTTAACTTCATCCTTAATGCTGGGACATTGAGAATATCATTTTATAATCTTTCATACCTAAATGTACTTGGTAATATCTATGTCTATAGATAGAATTCTCAAAGATAATATAAGACTAAACAAATAAAAAGATTTTTAAAATACTGGGTAAAAAGTTACTACATAAAGCGATTAGATTTCTATTGTTAATTATTGAATGCTGCCTAAAAATTACCAAACTAGCATATCAAATAATAGTCGCTGTCATTTAAAATATTAAGGATACTTCTTATATCTAGTTCATGCTTTTAGTTTTTGCTAGGAATATTTAAAATAAAGCCAAATAAAAAATATATTGTTGGACTTTTTAGTACTTTAGATATGATAATTGTAATTGTATGCCTTAAGAAAATCTTAGTATAATTTATATTCATAATGTATCAATTGTGGAAGGAAACATAGGCACAATTTTACAGATAGTATAACTCTGATAGAAAAAGTTCAAAGCTTGATTAAGTTGATATGTTATTTTGCTGTATAAGGATTCCTCTGATATAAAATGTAATTTACATTGTAATAGCATTAAAAAGTTTTTTATAAATTAATTTTGTGCCATTTTGCATATTTTAAAGATCATATTTCCCCATTTTTAATATGAAAATACTTATATACATATGTAGACACAACTATATGTAAACACATAGACATATATTTATAGCTTTTCAAGATTTTTATTATCTCAATTAAATTACCCTGAGGGCTAGTTTGTGGTATTGAATGTCATTAAAGAACAAATTAACACATATTGCAAAGTGTTTCCAGAAAATTAACACGACATCCATGAAGTCAACATAATCATGACTTGCAGAACTTACATCCAAAGTTAGAAAAATAAAATAAAATGTAATAATCCAGAGTAAATGTATGAGGAAATCACTACAGATTAACATTATTTGTTGTCATTTGCTGATGCAGTCCAAATCTCCTGTCAGGACTTTACTGACAAATATAAATGAATAGTCATCTCCCAAGCATTTCTCAAGTAATTTTTCTTGAATTTACCCCAGAAAAGCTCTCTATTTAACGCCAGATAAAATGTTGTCTGATAGGTTATATTTAATTTTGAAACAAATATACTCACAGTACACATAGTTGCAAATACACATTTACTCTGTTTGGGCCATATTGAAAGATTAAAACTAACCTGATATTCCTGGGAGTCCTTTACTCTGTTCATTCTAACAAGGCAAAATGACTTCTGTGGTGAATGTAAGTTATAATGATGGTCTTAAAGGGAAGCTATGTGCGTGACTGAGAATAGACTATTACTAGAGGTCACAAGTTAAATTTTAAATAGATGCAGAAAAGCACAGTATGATGGTAAGGTGAGTGGAAGAAATCTTCCTCTATGATTCAACTCGACTCCTCAAATCACTCTCTATTCTTCCCAGTGATCTCAGAAGTGAGAAATGACTTGTCAACTGAGTGTGACACAGAGAACAGTAAGGCTCAGTTTTCCTACAGACCTCATTCACAAAAGTCAAGCAATACTGAAAGAATTGCAAATTTATTTTTACTTTTATTTTTTTTATTTCAGCAAATTATGGGGATACAAATGCTAAGGCCACATATATTGAAGCTCTGACTTGAGGTGTGTGGGGGACAAGTGCAAATTTATTTTTAAAACCAGACCACTGGAGCAACCTGCTAGCAAGAGAATGCCTCTAGCCACATTAAAGAGAGAGATGTCATCAGGTGAAAAAACAAGAGGGTCATTCTAACTGCCAAAATATTTGCAAATGGTTAGTGGCTACTGCAAGTTCCCTTTTGCTTTCCACAGCAGTTGGTGTGGATTGGATTTACCCCTGTAAATACCTGGTCTTATTTAAAGTTATTTTCTGTGAGCCAACATTCTTTGTTTTTATCAATTTTAGGAAAAAACAATTATAACTAGACTTTAATGTAGTATACAGGAAAAAAACAATTGTACTGGTTACCTGATTTTATTAATACATTGTAGATGTATTAATAAAAATTCACCCTAGGATGAGTTGCACTCATCACTTCTTGTTCTCTTCATCATTTCCTTAATAAAACTATATTTCCTAAATGTATTTGATAAGTGGAAATTTAAGATAAGATAAACCTACAGCAATAAAAACAAAACTCAAAATAAGCAAACAAAAAGCCTACTTTAAATATCCAAAGTATGAAACTATTAATAAAGATTCTTCTGATGGGTTAAATCTTAGTGAAATATTAACTCACATAAAATGTCCATTTATTAATCTAAAAGTGGGAGGAAGTGTTCTGTTACTTGGAAGACATTAGTAAACTAAAAAATTCTTGGTTTATGTACATGACTACCAAGTTTCTAAGATCCAAACGCAAGCAATCCATCTAAAGTATTTATGATATAATGTTCGTATTATTTTATAATTCTCTGCAAACCTAGTAAAGGATTTCATCAGTCTGTCATTATTCAGTGATTTTCTTATTTGCTAATTAGAGAAACTCTCTCACTCCTGTGTTAATGAGAGTTAGGCATTTTCTGTGAATACCTCATGTATGTCAGCATTTGTAGGAAAATTAACATTTTTATTTGCTGGGTCTTATCAATTCTGATTAGAAATATTTCGTTTCCATGTTACTATTAATTCAAAATGAAATGTAAAAAGTTCTCCTTGCTGGTATACTTATGGCATGTATTCTATAAATACAATCCCATTTGCTCTCAATTACATACAAAGCAGAAGACATAAAATATTCTTGTGATGTTTAGATCAAACACATTTTTATGCATTAAAAATTATGTACAACTAGATATTCTATTTTTAATTTCTCAGAAAAACTTCTGTAGCAAAGTCTTCAGCAAGCAACCCAGCTCTCTTCCTTACTGAGTGTAGACACTTTGTATCTAATACTTGTCCATTATAAAAGCTTCACAAATCCCTAAATTTGCCAACTCCAGCACAGCAAATAATCTGGCCCACACAAATTTAGGAAAGTGTAATGCTCTCAGAGCTACTTCTATAGAAAATAAAGCTGAAACGAGATGCCAATCATTAGTGTTTGGCCTGACTCACTAGTTAAGTGACTCATTCATTTCTCATCCCATCATAGGTGAGTGGTTTATATGTATGCTTTTTATGCCATAAACCTGTGGAGTTCCTTGAAAATAGGCGGAATCTCAAACATCAAATTCATAGTGTATTGTACACAATGCACTATGACAGCCATAAAAATTTGTTAAATCTCCTTATTGTAACTGGTAGATTCTAAAGCAGACATAGTGCAGTCCCACAGTCACAAAACCTTTCATTTTCTTATACACACATACACATATATATGCTAACTGTGTACAATCGCAACTGATAAGCATTGAATTCTATTGAATTTTCTTGCTAATAATCAGACTAAAGTATTTGAGTTTAATATGGCTATTTCATATTCACCTGATTAAAAAATGCAAAAAAAAGACACAATAAGGAAAAGAAAAAGACATAGTAAAGAGAAAACACAAAATAAAATGGCAAATATAAGTATAAATACATCAACAATTATAAAAAATATATAAATGAATTAAAGTTTCCTGTTAAAAATTTGAATAGCCCATTCCACAATCAACTAATAGATGTAAATACATATAGTTATGTATGTATATCATTTTATTAGACTCTGTAGGATTTAAAGAGGTAGAAATAGAATTTGTTTTTCATGGAGTTTATAATCCACAGTTACTGATTTTTCGAATCAAAGAATGAAGTATTGACACCCAAGAAGAGCTTGATAAGTTAAAAAAAAATTACAAGTCAAATGACTTTCTTTGGTCTTTTCCAACACTTAATATATATACAAGTCACTTCATGTAACTGCCGTTTTGATATGGTTATTTCCTAAACACTGTTATATTTCCTTAATGAAGTATCCACATTAACAACCCCAACGAACATATTTTCATTGTCCTTAAAGATTCTTGAGTAAAGATTCTCTTACTCAAGAGATTAAACACAAGAACACATCTCGAAGAGTATTAGGTTTACATTTATTTTCAAAGGACAAATTAAAAAAGATGTGCAAAGCAAAGTAGATAACTCTACACCAACAGTGATTTAATGAGATGCCCTCTCATTTACCCTCAGTTTAGAGCAAAAGCAAAACTGACAACTCAAGTGGAGAAGTGGTAAATGAGAAACGAAACTTGGCCTGTGGTTTCATGTCTAAAGCAAAAAATACAGATTCAGAGGATTTGAAGGTAGATGGAAACAACTACTTTATTTCTAATGAAAAAGATATTTATACAATGCCAACTTACTCTTGAATATTAATAAAAATAGTGTAAATATTAGAAAATTAGTAATGAATTGAAAAAAGTCAAAGCAGAATTGCATAACTTATACAGTCCTTAAGATTTCAAATAACAATAATTTTTTTTTTTTTTTTTTTTAGAGATAGTATCTTACTCTGTTGCCCAGACTGGAGTAAGTGGCACCATTATATCTCACTGTAACCTCAAATTCCTGGGCTCAAGTGATCCCCTCACTTCAGCTTCCCAAGTCACTGGGACTACAGACACACGCTTGGCTATATTTTTTATTTTTGTAGAGATGTGATCTTTCTGTGTTGCCCAGGCTAGTCTCAAACACCTGGCCTAAAATGATCCAATTCTCCCACCTTGGCCTAACTTAAAATGCTGAGATTACAGGCATGAACCACCACACCCAGCCTTCATTTCTACAATTCAAAAATACTACCAATAAACTTATGAAAATATTTAGCATGATAAATACTCAAAAATAACAAAATATAATTTTTACCTATTAAACTGGCAAAGTTTTAAATACTAAAGTTGACCAGGATTGGGGCTGCAGGAATAAAAAAAGGTTTATTGAATATAATTTGATTAAGCTTTTCAGAGGAAATTGAGAAATCTATATCAAAAGCAATTCTACTTCTAGGATTTTATCCTAGAAAATAATAATGGCTATATGAAAAGATGTACGCACATGCCTTTTTATTATAGAATTATTCATAAAAGTAGAAAAGTTAAAGCAACCTAAATGTCCAGAATTGACTGAATAAATTAAGTTCTTACAATGAAATACTATGTAGCCTTAAAAAATACTGTACTGTACTGTATACTGAAATGGAAAAAAACTTCATAATAAATTAAATGAAGTTAAGTGAAAAAAGCAGACCACAAAGCAATATCTATGACATGATCATATGTTTGTGATGATTTTATTTACATAAAAATGCAAAAATATTAGAACACTGTATAGCAAATTTTAACTCTGTTCACTAGGTAGTGAAGTGATGGGTGATTTTTATTTTTATTATTGCTTGCATTGTCCAAAAAGAAATATGCATTAATTTTGTAGTAAGAAAAAAAAAGCTAAAATTTAGTTCAGTTTTTTTTTTTAATGACACGCACAAGGTAAAAAGAGTAGCTAAACTAAATTTATTGTCAATCATCAATTCTGAATTATAGATCCTCTAGTTATTCATTTTACTGTGTTTCTTCTCTGTGAGTATAATCTCTACATTGCCTTTAAGGCTTTCGCTAACAATCTTTTCTTTCTAGGAAGGCCCTTGGTACCTTTACAAGTATCTGATTCCCTAAAAGCAACAGTTTGAGGACTGCTATGCATTTAAAATTTGAAAAGGGTGATGAACATTCAAGCATGCAGACAGAGCCCTTCTTTCCTCATGCCCTCTCTGAGCACAGCAGTTATTTCATCCTGTGTATTGAAATAATTTGGTGCCACGTTTTCCAGTGAAGGTTGATGTCACAGGTGTCATAGCAAGGTGCTATACAGTGGATTTGGGTGTTAGCGTGAGTAAAATAGCTGTCAACTTTCTGCGTGCTACATACTTTTGAATTGACTAAAGACTTACACTGGGGATCAGAAGGGGTAGAAGATGCCATTTGTGATAGATCATAAGAGATCATGTAACCGAGAAACATGTTACAAAAACATTTTTTTTAAAAAGTTATATTTTCAATAAAATGGACTTCCTCCTCCCTCAAACATCTTTTTATATTAGTATGAATAGGCAAAGGGTTTGGTTATTTGAGATATTTGCATTACACTTATAAATGGGAGCTAAACAAAGGACATCTATGGTCATAAAGAGCTGTAGTGGATATTGGAAACTAAAAAGGGGGGAGATGGGAGGGAGTATGAGGGATAAAAATCTACCTGTCAGCTACAATGTACACTATTCTAGTGATGGGTATACTGAAAGCCTTCACTTCAGCATGATGCAATGTATCCCTGTAACAAAAAAATACTTGTTCTCCCTAAATTTTTTGAAATTAAAAAAAGATAGATAACTGCCACTGTGACAGCATTGTGAGGTGAGATCTTTGGAAGGTGATGAGGTCATATGGGCTCCATTTTAATAATGGATGAATGTCTTCATAGTGAGAATAGGTTAGTTATCAAGGGAGTTTGGCCCCCTTGTTCTCTCTTGCCATTCTGCTTTCTATTCTTCCACCATGGGATGCCCTTACCAGATAGCAATGTCATACTCTTGGACTTCCCAGTCTCCAGAACCATAAGCCAAATAAACTTTTCTTTACAAATTACCCAGTCTGTGGTATTTTGTTATAGCAGCAAACCAACTAAGACAGCTGTGACAACATTATACCAGTTAATATTCTCTTGCTGGCACTTCCTAAAAAGAGCAGAGCTAACTCAACTATCATGGTATAAAACATTAAAATAATTAATTCATAATATTTATTATGATATAGCTACTACCACTGGGAGGATAGGATAGCATTGTGGTTAAAGAA